GCAACGAGGGGACAACGAGGGGACAATCTCTCACTCGCACACTCCACCAGCTCTGTCACATCGCCAAACGCATCTTCTCGTGCTTGAATGCGCCACCCACGACCACTGGTGGATGATAGGAGGGGCAGGTGGGGAGGAGCAACGAGGGGACAAACAGGTAAGCAAGCAACGAGGGGACAACGAGGGGACAATCTCTCACTCGCACACTCCACCAGCTCTGTCACATCGCCAAACGCATCTTCTCGTGCTTGAATGCGCCACCCACGACCACTGGTGGATGATAGGAGGGGCAGGTGGGGAGGAGCAACGAGGGGACAAACAGGTAAGCAAGCAACGAGGGGACAACGAGGGGACAATCTCTCACTCGCACACTCCACCAGCTCTGTCACATCGCCAAACGCATCTTCTCGTGCTTGAATGCGCCACCCACGACCACTGGTGGATGATAGGAGGGGCAGGTGGGGAGGAGCAACGAGGGGACAAACAGGTAAGCAAGCAACGAGGGGACAACGAGGGGACAATCTCTCACTCGCACACTCCACCAGCTCTGTCACATCGCCAAACGCATCTTCTCGTGCTTGAATGCGCCACCCACGACCACTGGTGGATGATAGGAGGGGCAGGTGGGGAGGAGCAACGAGGGGACAAACAGGTAAGCAAGCAACGAGGGGACAACGAGGGGACAATCTCTCACTCGCACACTCCACCAGCTCTGTCACATCGCCAAACGCATCTTCTCGTGCTTGAATGCGCCACCCACGACCACTGGTGGATGATAGGAGGGGCAGGTGGGGAGGAGCAACGAGGGGACAAACAGGTAAGCAAGCAACGAGGGGACAACGAGGGGACAATCTCTCACTCGCACACTCCACCAGCTCTGTCACATCGCCAAACGCATCTTCTCGTGCTTGAATGCGCCACCCACGACCACTGGTGGATGATAGGAGGGGCAGGTGGGGAGGAGCAACGAGGGGACAAACAGGTAAGCAAGCAACGAGGGGACAACGAGGGGACAATCTCTCACTCGCACACTCCACCAGCTCTGTCACATCCCCAAACGCATCTTCTCGTGCTTGAATGCGCCACCCACGACCACTGGTGGATGATAGGAGGGGCAGGTGGGGAGGAGCAACGAGGGGACAAACAGGTAAGCAAGCAACGAGGGGACAACGAGGGGACAATCTCTCACTCGCACACTCCACCAGCTCTGTCACATCCCCAAACGCATCTTCTCGTGCTTGAATGCGCCACCCACGACCACTGGTGGATGATAGGAGGGGCAGGTGGGGAGGAGCAACGAGGGGACAAACAGGTAAGCAAGCAACGAGGGGACAACGAGGGGACAATCTCTCACTCGCACACTCCACCAGCTCTGTCACATCCCCAAACGCATCTTCTCGTGCTTGAATGCGCCACCCACGACCACTGGTGGATGATAGGAGGGGCAGGTGGGGAGGAGCAACGAGGGGACAAACAGGTAAGCAAGCAACGAGGGGACAACGAGGGGACAATCTCTCACTCGCACACTCCACCAGCTCTGTCACATCCCCAAACGCATCTTCTCGTGCTTGAATGCGCCACCCACGACCACTGGTGGATGATAGGAGGGGCAGGTGGGGAGGAGCAACGAGGGGACAAACAGGTAAGCAAGCAACGAGGGGACAACGAGGGGACAATCTCTCACTCGCACACTCCACCAGCTCTGTCACATCGCCAAACGCATCTTCTCGTGCTTGAATGCGCCACCCACGACCACTGGTGGATGATAGGAGGGGCAGGTGGGGAGGAGCAACGAGGGGACAAACAGGTAAGCAAGCAACGAGGGGACAACGAGGGGACAATCTCTCACTCGCACACTCCACCAGCTCTGTCACATCGCCAAACGCATCTTCTCGTGCTTGAATGCGCCACCCACGACCACTGGTGGATGATAGGAGGGGCAGGTGGGGAGGAGCAACGAGGGGACAAACAGGTAAGCAAGCAACGAGGGGACAACGAGGGGACAATCTCTCACTCGCACACTCCACCAGCTCTGTCACATCCCCAAACGCATCTTCTCGTGCTTGAATGCGCCACCCACGACCACTGGTGGATGATAGGAGGGGCAGGTGGGGAGGAGCAACGAGGGGACAAACAGGTAAGCAAGCAACGAGGGGACAACGAGGGGACAATCTCTCACTCGCACACTCCACCAGCTCTGTCACATCCCCAAACGCATCTTCTCGTGCTTGAATGCGCCACCCACGACCACTGGTGGATGATAGGAGGGGCAGGTGGGGAGGAGCAACGAGGGGACAAACAGGTAAGCAAGCAACGAGGGGACAACGAGGGGACAATCTCTCACTCGCACACTCCACCAGCTCTGTCACATCCCCAAACGCATCTTCTCGTGCTTGAATGCGCCACCCACGACCACTGGTGGATGATAGGAGGGGCAGGTGGGGAGGAGCAACGAGGGGACAAACAGGTAAGCAAGCAACGAGGGGACAACGAGGGGACAATCTCTCACTCGCACACTCCACCAGCTCTGTCACATCGCCAAACGCATCTTCTCGTGCTTGAATGCGCCACCCACGACCACTGGTGGATGATAGGAGGGGCAGGTGGGGAGGAGCAACGAGGGGACAAACAGGTAAGCAAGCAACGAGGGGACAACGAGGGGACAATCTCTCACTCGCACACTCCACCAGCTCTGTCACATCGCCAAACGCATCTTCTCGTGCTTGAATGCGCCACCCACGACCACTGGTGGATGATAGGAGGGGCAGGTGGGGAGGAGCAACGAGGGGACAAACAGGTAAGCAAGCAACGAGGGGACAACGAGGGGACAATCTCTCACTCGCACACTCCACCAGCTCTGTCACATCGCCAAACGCATCTTCTCGTGCTTGAATGCGCCACCCACGACCACTGGTGGATGATAGGAGGGGCAGGTGGGGAGGAGCAACGAGGGGACAAACAGGTAAGCAAGCAACGAGGGGACAACGAGGGGACAATCTCTCACTCGCACACTCCACCAGCTCTGTCACATCGCCAAACGCATCTTCTCGTGCTTGAATGCGCCACCCACGACCACTGGTGGATGATAGGAGGGGCAGGTGGGGAGGAGCAACGAGGGGACAAACAGGTAAGCAAGCAACGAGGGGACAACGAGGGGACAATCTCTCACTCGCACACTCCACCAGCTCTGTCACATCGCCAAACGCATCTTCTCGTGCTTGAATGCGCCACCCACGACCACTGGTGGATGATAGGAGGGGCAGGTGGGGAGGAGCAACGAGGGGACAAACAGGTAAGCAAGCAACGAGGGGACAACGAGGGGACAATCTCTCACTCGCACACTCCACCAGCTCTGTCACATCGCCAAACGCATCTTCTCGTGCTTGAATGCGCCACCCACGACCACTGGTGGATGATAGGAGGGGCAGGTGGGGAGGAGCAACGAGGGGACAAACAGGTAAGCAAGCAACGAGGGGACAACGAGGGGACAATCTCTCACTCGCACACTCCACCAGCTCTGTCACATCGCCAAACGCATCTTCTCGTGCTTGAATGCGCCACCCACGACCACTGGTGGATGATATGAAGGGTGATAGGCAGGCAAGCAAGGACAAGTCACTCTCATTCTCTCCACCAGCTCTGCCACATCGCCGAATGCGTCCTCCCTTGCCTGAATGCGCCACCCGCGACCACTGGTCGGTGATAGGAAGGGAGAAGAGGGGCAAAGCAGGCAAGCAAGGGGGTACGATTAATAAGCATGTCATGACACGTGCTCCTGCCTCTCCACCAGCTCTGTCACATCGCCAAATGCATCTTCTCGTGCCTGAATGCGCCAGCCGCGACCACTGGTGTTTGAAGGGGCAGGAGAGGAGGGAATAAGGAAGGGGAAATGATGTAAGCAGCAGGTAATGACAGGTCCGCATGTAAAAAAACACCACATTCACCCTCCCTCGCTCCACCAAATCTGTCACATCGTCAAAAGCATCTTCTCGTGCCTGAATGCGCCATCCACGGCCACTGGTGGGTGATAAGAAGGAGCAACCAAAGCAGGTGAGCAAGGCGGGGACAGATAGGCGAGCAAGCGATGAGAAGCCGCTCACTCACACGCACTCTCCACCTCACATCCCCAAACGCGTCCTCCCTCGACCACTGGAGGGTAGGAGGGGAGAGTGGGGAGGAAGCAACCATTACAGGCCACTCGCAATCTCCACCAGCTCTGTCACATCCCCAACCCAAACGCGTCCTACCTCCCCTGCATGCGCCACCCGCGTCCACTAGAGGGTAGGGTAGGGAGAGCGGGCGAGCAGGGAAACGCGGCCGAGCAGGGGAGAGTGGGCGAGCAGGGGAGCGCGGCCACTTGTGGGAGTGAAGAGCGGGGAAGACGGTGAGCAAGGAGTGACAGGCGGATGCAAATAGAGGCGCTCTTCACTCTCATTAGCAGATGCAGATAGAGGCCACATCGCCAAAAGCACCTGCACGTGGCACTTACCTGTTTCTGAGTCGACTCAAAAGCACTTACCTATTTTTGAGTCGACTCAAAAGCAGACGGTGAGCGAGGAGTGACAGGCGGATGCAGATAGAGGTCACATCGACAAAAGCACCTGCGCGTGGCACTTACCTGTCCTATCACACAGGTAAGTGTAGTATACTCCCCTTCTTTGAAGACTCACTTTCGTTTGACATAGGTGCTCATGATGTTCAGCTCGTTGCTCAGCGTACCATGAGCAGCAGTTTTATAAGGGAATGGCCAGACAACGTAGCTCATTGGTTTGTTTGGATAGTCACTTCCGTTTTGCATAGGTGCTCATAATGTTCAGCTCGTTGCTCAGCTTACCATGAGCAGCAGGTTCTATAGGGGAACGGCCACACAACGTAGCTCATTGATTTGTTTGACTACTCACTTCCGCTTGACGTAGGTGCTCATGATGTTCAGCTCGTTACTCTGCTTACCTGTAGAAATACTCCTTATAAGACAATGGCCACACATTCTAGAGACTCACTTTCGTTTGACATATGTGCTCATGATGTTCAGCTCGTTGCTCCATCGACCGGGGTCCGTGCTGCACAGCACACGCAATGGATGCAGTAATGCGATGCGTGCACAGCAGACAGACAAAGAAAGACAAAAATAAAAAAGAGAAGAAGAGAAGAATACGCAAGGAATGAATGATTACTAGACAAACAGGGCCAGCAGTTCAGTTCAGTTCAGGTAGCATATGGAATACATTTTTCTCCAATCTTTCGACCTTAAAAAAACCGCCCACTCACGAGGTGAGAAAGAGCATGCCGTCCTGTGACGGGTTGACACCTGGCAGCTCCAGACTGGCTCCCCGGCCGTCCCACCGCATGATGCGGGAGAGGTCGGACGGGAGGTTGGGGGAGTATGATGCGTTGGTGGCCCACTTGGCCTCTGCGCCCTTCTCCAGCTGCGAAGGGGCATCCACGTACCCGGCAGTCCAGCCTGCATGCAGGATGCAACAGCAACGGGGTTTAGGGTTTGAGTTGGGTTGGGTTGGGTTGGGTTGGATTGGGTTGGGTTGGGTTGGGTTAGGTTGGGTTGGGGTGGGTTGGAGGAGTGGGACGCGTTGGTGGCCCACTTGGCCTCTGCGCCCTTTTCCAACTGCGAAGGGGCATCCACGTAGCCAGCGGTCCAGCCTGCAAGATACAAGAGCAGTGATGGGGTATACAGGGATTGGGTTCGGGTGGGAGGTTGCCTCCCCGCCCATCCCACCGCATGATGCGGGAGAGATCGGAGGGGAGGTTGGGCGAATAGGAGGCGTTGGCGGCCCACTCAGCCTCTGCACCCTTTTCCATCTGCGAGGGGGAATCCACGTACCCAGCGGTCCAGCCTGGGAAGGACAGGAGGGAGGGAGCATGCGAACAGCACATGGTATCTATATGGGGGTGGTCGGAGGGGAGATTGGGGGAGTGGGATGTCTTGGTGTCCCACTTGGCCTCTGCTCCCTTCTCCAGCTGAGAGGGAGCATCCACTGGCAAGGGAAAGGAGGGAAGGAGCACGTGCATAGCCCATGCTATATGCGAGAGAGCTCCGTGGGGAGGTTGGGGTAAGGGAAGCATGCAATTGAGACGTCATTGTTGCCCTCGTCCTGCTCGACCTTCCGAGTGGCAACTGAAAATGTTGACTATGTAATGGTGGTTACCACTACACTCACACGTGTGCCCTGGCAGTAAGGAGACCTCACACACCCACCTCCCTCCCCCACCAACACACCCACCTCCCTCCCCCACCAACACACCCACCTCGAGACGTCAATCACACCCTCGTCCTGCTTTCTGGCTGGCTGTCTTAATGAAACCTTACCATACCACCACAACACCCACACACACGCACCTTGGTGGTAGGGGAACCATGCAATGGAGACATCAATCACACCCTCGTCCTGCTCTCCCGCCCGCCTTCCCGACAGCAGCTGAGCTGCATACCACTACACCATACACACGCACCTTGGTGGTAGGGGAACCATGCGATGGAGACATCAATCACACCCTCGTCCTGCTCTCCCGCCCGCCTTCCCGACAGCAGCTGAGCTGCATACCACTACACCATACACACGCACCTTGGTGGTAGGGGAACCATGCGATGGAGACATCAATCACACCCTCGTCCTGCTCTCCCGCCCGCCTTCCCGACAGCAGCTGAGCTGCATACCACTACACCATACACACGCACCTTGGTGGTAGGGGAACCATGCGATGGAGACATCAATCACACCCTCGTCCTGCTCTCCCGCCCGCCTTCCCGACAGCAGCTGAGCTGCATACCACTACACCATACACACGCACCTTGGTGGTAGGGGAACCATGCGATGGAGACATCAATCACACCCTCGTCCTGCTCTCCCTCCCGCCTTCCCGACAGCAGCTGAGCTGCATACCACTACACCATACACACGCACCTTGGTGGTAGGGGAAGCATGCGATGGAGACATCAATCACACCCTCGTCCTGCTCGCCTGCCCTCCTTCGCAAAAGTAGCTGAGCTGCATACCACTACACCATACACACGCACCTTGGTGGTAGGGGAAGCATCGATGGAGACATCAATCACACCCTCGTCCTGCTCGCCTGCCCTCCTTCGCAAAAGTAGCTGAGCTGCATACCACTACACCATACACACGCACCTTGGTGGTAGGGGAAGCATGCGATGGAGACATCAATCACACCCTCGTCCTGCTCGCCTGCCCTCCTTCGCAAAAGTAGCTGAGCTGCATACCACTACACCATACACACACACCTTGGTGGTAGGGGAAGCATGCGATGGAGACATCAATCACACCCTCGTCCTGCTCGCCTGCCCTCCTTCGCAAAAGTAGCTGAGCTGCATACCACTACACCATACACACACACCTTGGTGGTAGGGGAAGCATGCGATGGAGACATCAATCACACCCTCGTCCTGCTCGCCTGCCCTCCTTCGCAAAAGTAGCTGAGCTGCATACCACTACACCATACACACGCACCTTGGTGGTAGGGGAACCATGCGATGGAGACATCAATCACACCCTCGTCCTGCTCGCCTGCCCTCCTTCGCAAAAGTAGCTGAGCTGCATACCACTACACCATACACACGCACCTTGGTGGTAGGGGAACCATGCGATGGAGACATCAATCACACCCTCGTCCTGCTCGCCTGCCCTCCTTCGCAAAAGTAGCTGAGCTGCATACCACTACACCATACACACGCACCTTGGTGGTAGGGGAAGCATGCGATGGAGACATCAATCACACCCTCGTCCTGCTCGCCTGCCCTCCTTCGCAAAAGTAGCTGAGCTGCATACCACTACACCATACACACGCACCTTGGTGGTAGGGGAAGCATGCGATGGAGACATCAATCACACCCTCGTCCTGCTCGCCTGCCCTCCTTCGCAAAAGTAGCTGAGCTGCATACCACTACACCATACACACACACCTTGGTGGTAGGGGAAGCATGCGATGGAGACATCAATCACACCCTCGTCCTGCTCGCCTGCCCTTCTTCGCAAAAGTAGCTGAGCTGCATACCACTACACCATACACACACACCTTGGTGGTAGGGGAAGCATGCGATGGAGACATCAATCACACCCTCGTCCTGCTCGCCTGCCCTCCTTCGCAAAAGTAGCTGAGCTGCATACCACTACACCATACACACGCACCTTGGTGGTAGGGGAAGCATGCGATGGAGACATCAATCACACCCTCGTCCTGCTCGCCTGCCCTCCTTCGCAAAAGTAGCTGAGCTGCATACCACTACACCATACACACACACCTTGGTGGTAGGGGAAGCATGCGATGGAGACTCAATCACACCCTCGTCCTGCTCGCCTGCCCTCCTTCGCAAAAGTAGCTGAGCTGCATACCACTACACCATACACACGCACCTTGGTGGTAGGGGAAGCATGCGATGGAGACATCAATCACACCCTCGTCCTGCTCGCCTGCCCTCCTTCGCAAAAGTAGCTGAGCTGCATACCACTACACCATACACACACACCTTGGTGGTAGGGGAAGCATGCGATGGAGACATCAATCACACCCTCGTCCTGCTCGCCTGCCCTCCTTCGCAAAAGTAGCTGAGCTGCATACCACTACACCATACACACACACCTTGGTGGTAGGGGAAGCATGCGATGGAGACATCAATCACACCCTCGTCCTGCTCGCCTGCCCTCCTTCGCAAAAGTAGCTGAGCTGCATACCACTACACCATACACACACACCTTGGTGGTAGGGGAAGCATGCGATGGAGACATCAATCACACCCTCGTCCTGCTCGCCTGCCCTCCTTCGCAAAAGTAGCTGAGCTGCATACCACTACACCATACACACGCACCTTGGTGGTAGGGGAACCATGCGATGGAGACATGAATCACACCCTCGTCCTGCTCGCCTGCCCTCCTTCGCAAAAGTAGCTGAGCTGCATACCACTACACCATACACACACACCTTGGTGGTAGGGGAAGCATGCGATGGAGACATCAATCACACCCTCGTCCTGCTCGCCTGCCCTCCTTCGCAAAAGTAGCTGAGCTGCATACCACTACACCATACACACGCACCTTGGTGGTAGGGGAACCATGCGATGGAGACATCAATCACACCCTCGTCCTGCTGGCCTGCCCTCCTTCGCAAAAGTAGCTGAGCTGCATACCACTACACCATACACACGCACCTTGGTGGTAGGGGAACCATGCGATGGAGACATCAATCACACCCTCGTCCTGCTCGCCTGCCCTCCTTCGCAATAGTAGCTGAGCTGCATACCACTACACCATACACACACACCTTGGTGGTAGGGGAACCATGCGATGGAGACATCAATCACACCCTCGTCCTGCTCGCCTGCCCTCCTTCGCAAAAGTAGCTGAGCTGCATACCACTACACCATACACACGCACCTTGGTGGTAGGGGAAGCATGCGATGGAGACATCAATCACACCCTCGTCCTGCTCGCCTGCCCTCCTTCGCAAAAGTAGCTGAGCTGCATACCACTACACCATACACACGCACCTTGGTGGTAGGGGAAGCATGCGATGGAGACATCAATCACACCCTCGTCCTGCTCGCCTGCCCACCTTCGCAAAAGTAGCTGAGCTGCATACCACTACACCATACACACGCACCTTGGTGGTAGGGGAACCATGCGATGGAGACATCAATCACACCCTCGTCCTGCTCGCCTGCCCTCTTTCGCAAAAGTACCTGAGCTGCATACCACTACACCATACACACGCACCTTGGTGGTAGGGGAACCATGCGATGGAGACATCAATCACACCCTCGTCCTGCTCGCCTGCCCTCCTTCGCAAAAGTAGCTGAGCTGCATACCACTACACCATACACACACACCTTGGTGGTAGGGGAAGCATGCGATGGAGACATCAATCACACCCTCGTCCTGCTCGCCTGCCCTCCTTCGCAAAAGTAGCTGAGCTGCATACCACTACACCATACACACACACCTTGGTGGTAGGGGAAGCATGCGATGGAGACATCAATCACACCCTCGTCCTGCTCGCCTGCCCTCCTTCGCAAAAGTAGCTGAGCTGCATACCACTACACCATACACACACACCTTGGTGGTAGGGGAACCATGCGATGGAGACATCAATCACACCCTCGTCCTGCTCGCCTGCCCTCCTTCGCAAAAGTAGCTGAGCTGCATACCACTACACCATACACACGCACCTTGGTGGTAGGGGAACCATGCGATGGAGACATCAATCACACCCTCGTCCTGCTCGCCTGCCCTCCTTCGCAATAGTAGCTGAGCTGCATACCACTACACCATACACACACACCTTGGTGGTAGGGGAACCATGCGATGGAGACATCAATCACACCCTCGTCCTGCTCGCCTGCCCTCCTTCGCAAAAGTAGCTGAGCTGCATACCACTACACCATACACACGCACCTTGGTGGTAGGGGAACCATGCGATGGAGACATCAATCACACCCTCGTCCTGCTCGCCTGCCCTCCTTCGCAAAAGTAGCTGAGCTGCATACCACTACACCATACACACACACCTTGGTGGTAGGGGAAGCATGCGATGGAGACATCAATCACACCCTCGTCCTGCTCGCCTGCCCTCCTTCGCAAAAGTAGCTGAGCTGCATACCACTACACCATACACACGCACCTTGGTGGTAGGGGAAGCATGCGATGGAGACATCAATCACACCCTCGTCCTGCTCGCCTGCCCTCCTTTGCAAAAGTAGCTGAGCTGCATACCACTACACCATACACACGCACCTTGGTGGTAGGGGAACCATGCGATGGAGACATCAATCACACCCTCGTCCTGCTCGCCTGCCCTCCTTCGCAAAAGTAGCTGAGCTGCATACCACTACACCATACACACACACCTTGGTGGTAGGGGAAGCATGCGATGGAGACATCAATCACACCCTCGTCCTGCTCGCCTGCCCTCCTTCGCAAAAGTAGCTGAGCTGCATACCACTACACCATACACACGCACCTTGGTGGTAGGGGAACCATGCGATGGAGACATCAATCACACCCTCGTCCTGCTCGCCTGCCCTCCTTCGCAAAAGTAGCTGAGCTGCATACCACTACACCATACACACGCACCTTGGTGGTAGGGGAACCATGCGATGGAGACATCAATCACACCCTCGTCCTGCTCGCCTGCCCTCTTTCGCAATAGTAGCTGAGCTGCATACCACTACACCATACACACACACCTTGGTGGTAGGGGAAGCATGCGATGGAGACATCAATCACACCCTCGTCCTGCTCGCCTGCCCTCCTTCGCAAAAGTAGCTGAGCTGCATACCACTACACCATACACACGCACCTTGGTGGTAGGGGAACCATGCGATGGAGACATCAATCACACCCTCGTCCTGCTCGCCTGCCCTCCTTCGCAAAAGTAGCTGAGCTGCATACCACTACACCATACACACGCACCTTGGTGGTAGGGGAAGCATGCGATGGAGACATCAATCACACCCTCGTCCTGCTCGCCTGCCCACCTTCGCAAAAGTAGCTGAGCTGCATACCACTACACCATACACACGCACCTTGGTGGTAGGGGAACCATGCGATGGAGACATCAATCACACCCTCGTCCTGCTCGCCTGCCCTCTTTCGCAAAAGTACCTGAGCTGCATACCACTACACCATACACACGCACCTTGGTGGTAGGGGAACCATGCGATGGAGACATCAATCACACCCTCGTCCTGCTCGCCTGCCCTCCTTCGCAAAAGTAGCTGAGCTGCATACCACTACACCATACACACACACCTTGGTGGTAGGGGAAGCATGCGATGGAGACATCAATCACACCCTCGTCCTGCTCGCCTGCCCTCCTTCGCAAAAGTAGCTGAGCTGCATACCACTACACCATACACACACACCTTGGTGGTAGGGGAAGCATGCGATGGAGACATCAATCACACCCTCGTCCTGCTCGCCTGCCCTCCTTCGCAAAAGTAGCTGAGCTGCATACCACTACACCATACACACACACCTTGGTGGTAGGGGAACCATGCGATGGAGACATCAATCACACCCTCGTCCTGCTCGCCTGCCCTCCTTCGCAAAAGTAGCTGAGCTGCATACCACTACACCATACACACGCACCTTGGTGGTAGGGGAACCATGCGATGGAGACATCAATCACACCCTCGTCCTGCTCGCCTGCCCTCCTTCGCAATAGTAGCTGAGCTGCATACCACTACACCATACACACACACCTTGGT